CCATGCCCCACCTTGTACAGGGACTGGGAAAGCATTTAAGATGGTTGACAACATGCTGGAACACACTCCCAAAAGACTGCATTAGGCAAATCTATAGTCCCATTGACCTGAGTAGCTACCTGGCTTTCCACAGAATGCTGATCTCCAGTCCCCACGTTGGCAGGAGGAAGCAGACAACTGAGAGCAGGCTGAGACACACCAGCTACCAGCTCCCTGCTGGTGTTGCTGGCCTGTGACTGGCAGGCTCCAGAGGAACAGCAGGCAGAGGCAGGTAGGCTCCCTACCCCCGACACAGGGGAGGCAGGCCCTCCCTCAGCTTCTAGGCATTGCATCTGCTCCCCACTCACAGGCCCCAGGGTGTCCACCTCCTGCTCCCTGCAGTTCCACCTCCCACAGGATGGGGTCTTTGTGTCCGTGGATGCCACCACCTCTGCCTTTTCTTCTCCCAAGGCCATTGACACGTCCCTAGGGCAGGGTTCCCTGAAGCCTTCAGCTGCCTATAAAGTGGGAAAGGGAGAGAAAAAGATACAAATTTTCTACATCTGTGTCCAGGCAACCTTGTTTTTTAATGATTAAGAAAAACATTTTTTTCCACCAAAGAAAAACAAAAAATTATGGCTACTTCCTCAGAGAAGAATAGAGGTCCAGGTCGAGTGTTTCCTAGGCCCCAAACCCTTCTGAAGTGAAGGCAGGAGCACAACATTCTGTCCTCTGCTTTTATGTGGCCTGTACCAGCCCCGGCAGCAGGTGCCCAGGAGGGTCACTGCAGGTCCAAATCAGAGTCAAGGCTTGGTTCTCACTAAAGTCACCTTTTCGTCCCTGTCCCTTCAGCCCAGCTCCAATGGGTAAGAGGCCTGGCCTGTGCCAGCCCAGCTGCGGATCTGCTGTCAGCAGGCGGCTCTGGCCTGGCTCTCACGGCTCTGCTCTGTAGGAGAGCAAGTCAGGGCACACCCAGGCCTCAGCTGAACCCAGGCTGCAGGGCCCACTCTGCCCTGCAGAGAAGGCAGGACTCTCTCAAAGCACAGAAGCCACGCCCCAGGTTGTGGAGCAGATTGTGAAGAGACACACACTAGGAAGCAGGCAGGGAGGGAAGAAGGAACAATTTAGGAGGTGGATCTGAAAATAGGGCTGTTGCAATAAGAGCTTCAGGGACAGAGGGAGACCCTCTCAGCCTGAGTGCGCAGGCAAGGGCTGCTGCTGGGAACACAACTCTGGGAGGATATGAAAGGGGAGGAAAGGGACCCTCAAGCACCCAGGATTTCAGCAGCTGCCTGAAGTGCAGTGGGCCAACCCCAAAGCTAAAACTTGGACACAAATAGCCTTGTTTCCTCAGAGACCAGGGAGTGAGTGATGGCAAGCAGGTGGCAGCAGGGAAGTTTGAGAAAGTGGAGGCGGCTGTGGATGTGGGCTCACCCTGATCGGCTCACACGCCAGGAAGCACAAATGTGTGAGGACAGCTATCCTGAGAGGGTCCTACCCTGCCTGTCTGGGCACTCAAGGCTCCGACCAATACAGTGCCACCCTAGAGAAGAGCACACACTCCACATGTACTCTCGTTTACTTCTCACAACCACCATGGCTGAAATATAAAATGACCATTAGATCAAATATCTCTCCGCCCTTGTCCCTGTTCCTCCCTAAAATGAGCTAGTACATGCAGGGTACCACGACAGTGCCTGGCACAGTGCCAGCTAATGCCACCTTCAAGGGGGCTGTGTGTGTGACAGGATCAGTGTAACAAGTTACAAGGAACAAAGTCCAACAGAGGAGAAAAAGCAGCCTATGTTTATATAAATCAGCAAAATATTTACTACCAGATAACCCACAAAAACAGGTAAATAGTCTCCTTAACTTTGTGTCTCACCTGATGTACATGCAAACAGACACAGACACAAACGCCTCCTTCATCCTTCTCCCTCTTTACGTGAAAACAGCCAACTGTACAGGACACGACGTTCAGAGCCTCAGCAACACACAGCTTCCTCTTTCTTTGTGTCACTGCCCAGTGCTATATTCCACTGTAAGACTGCACTCTACTTCATTTCACCAGTCCCTTACTAGTGGGTATTTGGGTTATTTCCAATCTTTTGCTATTACAAACAATGCTGCAAACACACATCGTTTGCACGCATGCTAGCACACCCTCAGCATAAACAGCCACAAGCAGAACTGCTGAGGCGAAGGGTACATGCATGAGTACTTCTGGCATATGCTGCCAAGTGGCTCTCAATGGGGTGACATCAATTTACACTCCTACCTGCAGCATGTGAGGGTGCATTTCCCACGGGAGGCAGGTCCTTTTATCCTCATTTCAGAGGGGGAAACCAAGGCTCAGAGAGATTCCACTCTAGAACTGTGTGACTCCAGAACCTAAGCTCTTTATGAACCAATGAGGGAACAAGTCACAAAACAGGCCCACAAAGTAGAAGAGGGAAGAGACTGGTAGAGGGACAGAGATGAGTCACTAAGTCCTGCTGAAGATTTTCATGGAGCCACATCATCCCCTTGTGGCTATTTAAGAAACTGCACATGAACATGCTTCCAGGCAAACTGTTTTCATAACTATGAGGATAAGCTGAGCCTATGAACTGGAAAAATCAGGGTGACAGCTGCACCTAGCCCGTAGCCCCTAGTTTCTACTTCTTGCTCCATTCCTAAACTATCTTACTGGCTGGTGTTGGGCCCTGATGGGTGGCAGCTAATCCCCCTTTCACTCCTCTACTCTCTCCTCCACTAAAGAGTGTGGTCCTAAGATAGAGCTGGAATAAGAGGATGCTGGGGCAAGAGAGCGGTGCAAAGGAATAATCTCTTTGTTTTGGTGAGGTATTTTTTATGTCTTGTCTGGATTCCAAAACAGAAGGTATCCATTTATCCCTGGGGGGTGGTGAGCTAGAATTGTAAGCTATTCAGTAGACACCTCTAATAGACACCTTCCAGGACTTGCAGAAGCTGTATGACCTACCAGATATAATTAGGAGTGATGCAGGCTTGCTTGCCTTACTCCTGCCCTACAGTAAAAATATGCTCACACATCACGTATGTGGTAACACTAACTCCATAAGCCTGGACATCTGATCTGACCCTTCCTGGTGAATGCTGCACCACCCTTGTGCAATCCTGTCCCAACTGCCAGGGCTTCCTCCCACTTGCTCCAATCCAGGGTGGAGAAAGGAGGACTGGGAACTGGGGGGAAGGATGATGTTCCTCTCTTCACTAAACCATTCAAATAAACAAATGATCAACTAGGGAGCAATCCTCCTCTGATCAAAAGAGGACTTTCCCAGGATTCTTTCTTTAAATTATGAGCTCCCTTTGAAACAATCTGATTTATACCGAACTTTGTTTGGGAAGGGCCATCTTTCAGACAGCCCCCTGCAGCAGCCAGAGTGAGGTGCTGCTTGACACAGCAAGCCCAAGTTCAGGGGCCAAAGCCCCAACACTCTTGTTTTCACAGGCCACAGGTATAAGTGGCAAATGCCACGCGCACACAAGCAGAATCTGACCAGAAAACCAGAAAAAGAGGCTCTCAGTGCTGCTCTTTCTCTAAGAATATGAAACTGCCCACAAGGAAAGGGGGAGGGGTTGGGGTAGAACCTAGCGCTGTAGGTTGCTGGAAGGCTTCTGGGGGAAGTAGATTGATGGGAGAAAGGAGCTTAAAGGCAGAAGCCCATCTATGCGTGGGAGGCAGCATGAAAGGGG